AGAGAGAGAGAGAGAGAGAGAGAGAGAGAGAGAGAGAGAGAGAGAGAACGAGAAAGACGAACATAACTGAGCTCTCTCTAAAGCCAATACTTTTTTACAAGGAAGTATGGTTCATCATTTCAAGTTAAAGTTGTCTGATAGTTAATCAATATCGCGCAGCTTACCTTTCCTCCTCCGGAGTTCAACTAGATGAGTTTATTCTAAGGCTGGCCTCGTCTCCTTCCGCAGTGTGAACACAGCAGCATATTTGAAGGCTCAAAAAATATATGTTTGCATAAACAAATACAAGTCCTGCTTTGGGTGACGGATGTGTTCTTTGCTCTGTTGGCTGGATGGAGTCCAGTAAAGACGGATGATTTGTGAGCTCCGTGTGTCTCTGCTCGCTCTGCGTGACGAGAAAGCGCCTTCGATAGAAGAAGTACCAGCCACGGAGCGCGTTACAGTCACTTCCGCCCTCGTTGTCAAAATAAAACTCCACTTGTGACTAACTAATTAACTAATGCTGACAAATAGGCGAAATGTAAAGGAGTAACAGTTAAAAAAAATCCTGCAAGATGTAGTAAAGTAGAAGTATACAGATGAAACCAGTGTACCCCACCAGGCTACAACAGGTAGTTATAACAGTTACAACAGCACACAGCTGGTCAAAGCTGATCAAATGTGAATGCAACACAATCAATGCAGAAAGAGCATGAATCCCATTTTAAAACATACTCCACCAGCTCACAGGTCACACAGCTATTCAAATATTTTAGTAAAAGTACCAATTCAACAATGTAGGCTACTACACTACAGGTAAGAATACTGCATTTCAACTCCTATAAAAGTTATTTTGTTTAAATATGAAGATACAGTGAGCTGATGATACGATTTAGCTTAGCTTAGCATAATGACTGGAAACGGGGAGAACTCTGTCCTACGTTATGAAAGCACCACTAAATGATGTTTGTTCAATTTGTAGTAAACAGAAATGTAAAAACCTCAATTTGCTGATTGTTGATTAAATAAAACAGACATAATGTGGTAATGAGTGAGTACTGTACTTTTTAAAATCAACTACACTTGCATATTCATATATTGTGGATTTTAAATGAGGGCGGAATATAGCCTAAGATAATTTAAAAACAAATAATAAAGGTTATCAAACTTTTTGATGGTAAAAAACGAATCAAACACAAATTATTATTACAAGCAGTGTATTTTTAATTGTCTTAAACAAGTCTAGGATGAATCTTTAAGATTTAAAACATGTTTCAATTTAAACTTGTTTTCTCTTTTTGTGTCTGCATGTAGGCTACAATATAGTTATGTATCTTTTATTTATGCAATTGAGGTGAATGCAATTTTGTTTGTGGTGCACAAAGCATTTTATTTATCAACACGAAGGGTGAAATGTGCCCGAAAACCTACTAATGTTAAATTCTGTTTTTGTAGTTGACTCCTCCATTCTCCTTTTATTTTGCAGAAAAATCTAAAAGTTCACGGTCTCTTTCTGGTTAACTTGATGCAGCTTCCTCTTCCTTTCCTCATATTTTCACCACTAACCTCTCATCAGTGAACGCTTTATATCAGTGGACGGTCACAGTTGCAGAAGTACTACTCAGTACTTCTGCAACTGTGGTTTAGCCGAACGTATACACAAGAACACACAAAAAAAGTTGGACTGTTAAACATCGTATGCAACATACTGAATCGGTAAAGTTCAATTGCATTAGTTACCGTTTCTGTAAAGGAGCCCTTCATCACACTGGAAAGTAAACAGTTTAATGTTGTGCATTTATTGCACGTGTAAAACAAACTTCTGTATTGTAACTAACACAGTTAGATTGCAGCAGTGTTATCATAAAACATGTCAGCATTGACATTTTAGCACCAATCAATGAACATTATCTTGACGGAGAATCTGATTACCTCGAGTGCTGGATTGCTTCCTGGAAATGTTATTTAATATCGCTTTATTCTGATATTATCAACCTGTCCAGGGAAAGAAAACGTTTAATGACAAAATGTCCTATGTTAATATCGTAAACAAGCTCATTTGGGTTATATATTATTGTCAAAGCTACTTAATTTGAATTTCTTCTCTGCATTAATTAAAATAACTTAATCAATGAATAGGAATATGGTGCTGCCAGACCTAATAATATATCTAAACTGTGTTGAAGTATGTCCAATATCTTTGGCCTATTGTTCTTTTTATCCCATAAACACACCGTGATGAATAATATATGGTCGGTTTTTGTGCTGCTGTTAAACTTGGTAATCAAAATGACACCATGCAGTGTCTTGTCATTGCATGTATGTCCCTCCCTTCCTGATTTATGTTTTTCTCTATTTTTGTTCAATAAGTAAGATCCATTCATTCCGGTAGCATCCTGGAAAACAGCTTCTAACATGTCTGACAGATGTTCAGCGCAGTTAAATAGAGTAACTGACTGACTGGATTGATATTGAAGTGCACTCAGTCTGACTGCAGAAAGATGTCATTTGCAAAAAAGTGTAAAGATGCAAGTCTGACCTGAATCTCTGCCGTCTCTTTGCTGTGCACAGCAGCTGCAGGTGGAGCTCAGTCACATCCGCCTCTCAGCCTGTTACTCAATACCACAAAACTTCACAGGCTGAGTGTGTGTGTGTGTGTGTGTGTCAGTGTGAAAAAGAATATATTTGTTAAGTACTGCAGGTGTTAGTGGTGGCATATCATAAAGGATATTTGTGCTAAAGTGATGTCAGGAAATTCTCAAATATGGAGCACTTTGGTGGCCAAATGGATTGGGATTAAAAACTAATATCATCAGTAAAATGTTGAATTACTAATGTGTTGACATGTAATTTGTCATAACCCGGCTCTTAGGCCATGACATATACTGACATGCACACATGGTTGACAGTAAATTGAACATATTTATTGCATTAAAGCAAACAACTAGAAACAGTTGTCGCATGTGTCTGTATCAGTGATGTAGATGTAGATGTGAGCATAAGGGAGAGGAAAGTGAAAGCAAAACAAAAGTCAAACAAAGACAAAAATGTGTAGATGTCAGCTGGGATGAGTCCAAGTGACGAAGAGAGAACCAGAGAGACGCAGGTAGTTTTAGGAGCTTTAACTTCGTGGGAGCACTCAGATGTGGCTGCTTACCGGGTTTCTCTGGTACCTTCAAGGGCATGTAGGGAAACACACAACTCATACAACACACCTGAATGTCAGTAACTTATGCAGGGTCAATCACAAGTTTCAGTATGTACATAATAATAATTAAATGTATTCATAAAAAAGTGCTGAAAGAGCAACACACAAATGATCTCAAAGCTCTGTCCTAGTCTTCAGCCGAGAGACAGGAATAGAGAGAAGCCTCTCAAAGCTCGAGCAGTGTACGGGGATAAAAGAGCTGAGATATTTCAAAGAGTCAGACCATTTAGTAACTTTCACGTAAATAAAAGAACATTGAAATCTATTCTAAAACGTACTGGAAGCCAATGTACAGAGGTGGGTGGGGTGATATGTTCGTACCACCAGTTACCTTCAGACTTTCCCACGTTCCCAGTAACCTGAATCTCTCTCATTCACCTGCTCACCTGTTCCCACTTTCCCTCATCAGCCCTGCAGTATCCGGGACAGATTACACCTTTGCTTTCCAGTCAACCTGCACAGCTACCCCAGAGGTGGAATGCACATTTATTCAAGTCCTTAAGTACATTTTGTTGGTACTTGTACTTTACTTAAATATTCATTTGTATTATTCCATCACATTTTGAACGGGAAATATTGTACTTTTCACTTTTCCTGATGATTGCAAGATGTTTCATACTTGTATCTGTGTCTAATGTAAGAAACAGTGTGTAGTGTTTTCAAAGAAGTGTGTTACAGAATTACAAAAAAAAGCTGTGGGACAGTTCAACTTTACTGCCACTAGATGGAGCTCTTAATGAGCAAATGAGCCTCAGCTGGAGAACTGAAGCGTTGGGTTAATTGTCTAGTACAGGATTGTACACAGTTTTATAGGTTGTTTATACTTAGACAATATATTATATCAAACGGTATTGTGTATCAACATATAAACCACAATGTAGTACAATAATATACAAGCAATATCATTTGTTACAGTTTTCCCTTCATTTTGCATCGTATGAGCCGCTGTGCCTGCAACTTACTTAATTTTTTGATAAAAGGCTGATAATAAATTAACAATACTAAAGAAATAAACTACAAAGAAATAAACAATATCCCTCATGCAACATTTTCTCATACTTTTGCCAAGGTTTTATGTTTTTTTTAGACTCGGTTTAATCGAGATCTTGAATTAAACAGAAATAACTTTAAAGCTTAATTTTACATTTATTTGACAGCTTTATTTAGTTACTTTACATATTCAGACTATACATAAAACATATGATAACCTTGCAAAATGTGATACACTTTTACAGATTAAACTGCCCAACAGAAATACAATGTATTTCTTGTATTTTTTCATAGTATCTATTGAGATTTTTTCTATTTTAAATGATGTCTCTTGACTTTTGCAAAGTACTTACTGTTATGCAACAATAACCCAAGACAAATTCCTTTAATGTGCAAATCTACTTGATAATAAAACTGTTTACAGTATGTTACATATGCATGTATGGTATTTTATGTTTTATAATGTTATACGCCATGTATATACTGTATATGATTATTATTATTCAGTTTATATATTAAATCAATTTTTTTAATCTATTTGTATTCTGCTATGTGGAGTGAATTGCTGCCAAACCAAATTTCATTTTGTGTAACATGCATTGACAATAAAGCATCTTTAGTATTAAAAAAAAAAATCAAAGTATAATTGTACTTGGGTAAATGTGCTTAGTTACTTAGTAGTACTTAGTCCACCTATTTATGTACTTCATACTATGTTCATATTTCATCCAGTTTAATATTTTAATGAGGAAAAAGAGTAGGACTCCACAAAGACGTCGGTCACTCGTGGGTCCCCCGTGTGTGCGTGTGTGTGCATGTGTGTGCATTTGTGTGTGCGATTAGTCCCGCCTCCCAGTGCTCGTGACGCCGCGGTGACGTTACACGCAGTAGCTCGTGTCTCCAGTGGCTCCTCGCTTCATTCAGTCCGGTCCAGACTCACCGGCGGACAGTCAACGGACCTCACGGTTATTACTATTATGGACCCGGGCTGTTTGTCGGCTCGTTTTCCAGCTGAAGCGAACGAACAGTGAGTGGAAACGTCTCTGCTTCTTCTTCTGCTGCTGAATGATCATCTCAGTTTGGACTTTATCCTCAAGAAAACCGTTTTGTTTTTTCGGAAGTTTGGACCAACTGACGCTCTTTTGATTTCTTCGAACGTGTGTGGGAATAAATAACTGTCATAACTTCAGTTTAATGGATACAGACACACTGTTGGAGTATTTACACACCTGTTTGTGATTTTTGAGGGTCTTTTTTTTGGAGGTGGACTATTAGAAGAATGCTTTATTTATATTCTGGTCATTTTGACTCTATCAGTAGTTCTGTCGTGTTTACGTGAATATAAAACCATAATGATTTCGGAGGAGAGAAGCAGCCACGTAAATAAACAAGCCCTAAACTTCCCAGTGGGTTTACTGATCCGCTCTCCGAAGAAGAGTCTGGCCAAGCTGGGGAGGAAACCCAGCAATGGATCTGTGCAGTAAGTCTGAATTCAAGTTAACGTTAACACTATAAACGTGAACAAATACCTAAAGAACCCCAGCAATGGATCTGTGCAGGAAGTCTGAATTACTGTTTTTTTTATCACTATTTCATTACAGTCCGGCCAGCTTTTATAAAGTGCATTAACTTCTTCCCTTTTGCCTTAAATCACATGTTTGATATATAAACCCATTTTACTCGCCAAGACAATTGTTCACCTTTGACATACATATTTAGTGCCCTAATTAATATCTCAAGTAGTATAAAACCCACGTGAGATATATTACAGTGTTACGTGGAAAGATTGTTACATATAAATGTAAAAGTACCGGAAAAAAGTAACTCATTTCTGTAACTGTCTGTGTTTGTGATAAGTCACTCTGTACAGTCACACACTATAAAAGATATTACATTACATTACATTACAGTCATTTAGCAGACGCTTTTATCCAAAGCGACTTACAATAAGTGTATTCAATATCTGTATAAAAGATCTGTCTGGATAGAAATATTGTGTATATTTGAGGCTGGTCACCTAACAGTGTGTGTCATCTTCTCAGGTCCAATAACTCGGACATCACCGTCCGCTCCACGGAGAGCGTTGGCGTCCGGCAGCCGGCCAAGAGCAAAATACGCCGCCACAACAACAGGCTTTCAACTGTTTTCAACCACAGCCCCAACAGTGGGCGCCGCGGCCAGGCGCCGGGCAGCGGGACCACGGCCGGTGACCTGCAGGCTGCAGACGACCCGTCGGAGCTGTCCAGTCAAATGTCTGTGCCTGGCATCCTGAAGATCTTTGGCTGCGACATCTGTCAGGGGACCAACTACAAGAGTGTTCTGGCCACCACACAGTCCAGTGCAAAGGAGCTGGTGAAGGAGGCCTTGGAGAGGTGAGGCGTGTTGAGATGACTTGAACATTTGATTTAAGTCTGGAAAAACTCCACTGAGGATCAATTGAACAAGTGAGGTACCGGATCAATCAGAGAAACACCAGCTGTGAAACATGAGATACGACTCACCACCTCTCAAATCCCCTGAACCATGTAAACAGCTTTTAAAACCAGTGTTTTAGAAATAAAATGAGGCTTCTGCTACTGCACGACCTCTTTCTTACCTCAAATGTAATCTGAACTGGATTTTAGAGAGACTTTGATGTTCCTTCTTAGATATGTTCAGTACCAGTGGAGCAATATTAATATGGGAATCGTTAAAGCCATTTATACTATTTCCTAAAATGTAATGATCTAAATGATTAATCAGTTTAATCAAAAACAAAACTAAGAGTCTACAGACATTCTCTCTGTGAAGCCGTACTTTGAGCTAAATGCTAACGTTAAGCAGAGATAATTTACCATGCATCAGCACATTAGCGTGCAAACATTTACTAATTAGCACAAGGTACAGTTGAGGCTGATGGGAATGCTAGAGGAAAAAGTCAGAGAATCCTCAAATTTAGGGCAATTCATCCTGAGGAGCACATGAATGTTTGTACCAAATGTTATACCAATCAGTTTAATGTTTTTTTGAGATATTTCAGTCTAGACCAAAGTGGTGAAGTGTCATCTCCATCCCTAAAGCAGCGCCACTATGGAGGCTAAAAAAGTAAATTGTGATCTTCAGGTTGCTATATCAATCATTAACCCCCCCGTGGTTCTTCTGTCCACCTCTGTTGCTCAGGTACTGCCTGGAAAAAGAAGACGCCAACAACTACGTGCTCTGCGATGTGATCGGCCAGACGGGCGCAGACAACCAGTGGAAGAGGGAGTGTTTCCGGGTGGTGGGAGACAACGAGAAGCCCCTCATGCTGCAGTCACTTTGGAAACCCAAGGAAGGCTTCTCCAGGCGCTTCGAAATCCAGCTGAGAGCGAGCGTTGAAGAGCAGAGTTTAAAGGACAGAGACACCGTCACAGCAGGTATGCACGTCGACCAACACCTTGGTAGCTTTAGCCGATGTCTTCTTCAGAGAGCAGAGGTCGGGCCTACGCTTAACCCTCTCAACCCCAAAGCAGTTTGTTGCTCCGGTCACATTTTACTCTCTGTGGCCTTGATTTCAACTGCAATATATAAATCTGGAACTATATATCCAACATTTCTCCAAGTGTCCACAAGTGTTACCAATGTTGGAAAAAATAGAGGCTCCATGTGCTCTATGTATTGAACTATTTACATTTTTACAACCTCTACTTACAGCCTCTCCTCTCCTCTCTGCTCTGTGTTCAGAAGCAGTTCAGTCGAAGTTTCACAGAGTTTTTGTCACGTGACTGTTGGTCTCAGACGAGTCAATCATGGCTTCATAGTTGCTCTGAGGAGCTCAGAATTGAATGTTTTTTCACAGTATCTGGTTAAAGCAATAGGTTTATTTTGGGCGATATTTAAAATGAAACATATTTTAGATGAAATATCATAAATTAAGAAGCATTCGTCACACGTGATGTGTTCAAGGACCGTCGAAAAGACGAAAATCTGACGATAATGGCGGTTTTTAAAGCTTCTGGCTGTGATGAAAGTTTTAGCAATTGTTTAAAGAAAACATGCTTTTCAATCCGGTCGGTGGGTTTTGGGGTTCAGAGGAGTTAAACAGCACACATCTAACCATTTTCAGTACAACTCAGTGACCCTGACGTCCTCACGCCTGGGTAACCATTCACTCAGTCTCTGTGTTGGTGGCATGGGGAGCCTTTATCCTTGTCTCTTATTGCCGGCTAACAGCCTTCATTGTCCGGCTTATCAGCAGCTAGAACGGCGGAGATGGGCCGGCATGTGAGAGAGGTCAGGAGGAAACAAAAGCTGTGGTAAAGGATAGAGGAGGTCGGCCCCACTCTTATCTTTGTTTTATTGCAAGGGCCCTTCAGGGCCCCGTGAAACATCGAGGCTCCGCTCAGCTCTTCCCTCCAGAAAGTGGCCGCTCACTTCTGTGTTGTTCTTCCTATCAGAGCTCACTTCCTGCTCCCTGTTGACTTCTCTCTGTGTTAGACCAATAGTCTGGCTTTGTAATCAGTAATATTCTTGGCACTATTTTTGCTTTGTTAAATCACACTTTTGGGTGTTAACTCTGCATTTAACTGATTATTTGTTTTAGCTATTTATTCAAACGGATGTTAGTTTAAGCACAGTTGATGCAGAGTTTGCTGACATTTAAAATGTTTTGAATTAAAGGCAACTTGAATAAATGTAGAAGAAGAAGAAGAAGACATTATACAGTGCATAAACACCTACTGTACCCTGCTTTTTTTAAATATGTGGTACAGTATGGCTCAACTTAACAACTTAAATTGATTTTATTAGACTGGGTTTAGATGTTGAGTTTAAGGGAATAGTTTAACAATCTGGTAAATATGTTTATTTGCTTTCTTGCTGAGTGTGTGATGAGAAGATTGATACCACTCTCATATCTGTGTAGTAAATATGAAGCTAGCCAGCAGCTAGTTAGCCTAGCTTAGCATAAGGAATGGAAACAGCTAGCCTGGTTTTGTCCAAAATGTATCAAACTCCATCTACCAGCACCTCTAAAGCTCTTTAATCAACACGTGATCTTGTGTTTCATTCGTACACAAACAGAAGTTTTGGAGGAGTTACATGTGCAGGACTATTTATTTTCCAACCAGTGGGGGTGACTGTACCTCGCCAGGAAATAGTCTGGAACATAACGCTGATGCAACGTGTTAATTATTGAGCTTTAGAGATGCTGGCAGGTGGAATTTCCCACCTTTTGGACAGAGCCAGGCTAGCTGTTTCCTCCTGTTTCCAGTCTTTATGCTAAGCTAAGCTAAGCAGCTGCAGACTTCGTATTTACCAGGAGTGCTATTAATCATATAAATCTTGGAAATAAAACAAAGAAATTCCCCAAAATGTTGAATTGATCCTTTAAATAAATGAGTCTGGGTTTTGATTAATGATTTTTAGTTTCCTATAACGGTCTTAATGATGTTTGAACGGGTTTAAAAACATCAGAACAACAAAACTCAAGAGCAAACATTGACTTGAAACTTATAGTCTATGTAATAAAAATAACTTGGTCAATATCAGTCAAACCTTCGTCCCCTCTTACTGACTCCTCTACATTACGAGTGTCTGTCACCCTGCTGCTGGACAATGTGGAGAAACACCCACTTTCACAGCTGATAAGAGCGACAGAGCTGCCGGCTGTGGAGCCGGAGCTCGCTGGACATTCCTCGGCGCTTAATGGCTCCAAACGAGCTGAATAGTGTTTGTGTTACGTCAGGCCGACGGAGCGGCTGCTGGAGTCAGATAGAGTCGGTGGTCACATCTCACTTTCCCCGCACATTTCCTCTCTTTCCTCTCTGCTGGTGTTTCATTTGAGTTGGTGCCAGGGCAGTGAAACGTTGAGTTGGAGTCTGTTTGATTGAGCAGCGTGATTTTTCGACATTGTTCAGTGTTAAGCGAAATAGGTTTTACTTGAAAACATGATTTTATGACTGATAGTAGTTTTAAGTAAAGATACACGGTCCATATACAGTACCTCTGTTATTATTCATTTATGAGTTTATTTATCTGTATTTATTTCTGTCCTTGTGCAGCAACGACTCAATTTGCCCTCTGGGATCGATAAATGCTTCTCTTGTATTTAATCTTAATTTTTCATCTTACTCCAGTGAGATCTGAGAAGATAAATCTCCAAACTAGATGCAAAAGCAAAGAAGGAATATTTGTGCATCGTTTTTAATGATGTAAAAAATCAAGTTGGTTTAGGAAAGCTATTCTATTATTTTGTATCTTCCAAACAACATGCTCGATCTTAACAGAAAATACAAGTGAGTAATTATGATTAATTACTTTTCAGTCCTTTAAGTTATTCCTCGATCAATTATCACAATTTTTATCATAAGCAAAATTTGCTCTTTACTAAAAGTACATTTTTTGCGACCCTTTGCTTTTATATCTGGAACCTTTAAGTTTTAAGTTGAATCTCTTCTACATGTTGTATGTTGTTTAATCTTTGATTTTGTGTCATGTTACATGTGAAGGCTAAGATGTGACCTATTGACAATAATGGTAAAAAAAGGGGATCTATTGTACATTATGTCTAAATCTCTGACCGTAAGTGGTCTTTCCTGTGCTTTCCAGACATCAGCTCTTGCACACTGTTTCATGATGAACATACAACAGTGTGTTTTTCACATTGTAGATCGAACATGTACAGTTTACGTTCAACACGCTGTCCTCTTGTCGATCCAGGCATCAACGCTCAGGCTCGTAAGCTGCAGAAGAGCCGCTCCAGAGTGACCTCGCTGTTCGTGGACGGCAGCGGCGAGGATGTGGACGGACTCGGGATCTGGAGGAGTCTGAGCGAGATGGATCTGTCCACGATGGGGAAGGAGGCCAGCCGAGTCCAACATAGCGCGCTCAGAGAGGATCCAGAGGCCGAGGCCGACAAGGAGGTGCTGCGTCTCGGCATGGAGAAGGAGGAGACGGAGAGCAGCGACGACAACACCACCCAGTACTCCATTCACCCACCATTCGACTTCCCGTACTTCCTCCTGCTGCAGGGCTACAGCCACCGACAGGTGAGAGACAATCATTTATCAGCTAATGTGGTAATGCAACGTTTAAACACTGGTGTGTAATGGTCAAATTAACTGGTAAACTTGGGTAGAACAAGTAAGTAGGGCTGCAAATAATGATTACATTTATTAAAATCTTCTGTGATTATCATTTTTTTGATTGATTGTCAGAAAACAGTGAAAAATGTCACAACTTTAGGAAACCCAAAGTGACGTCTTCAGATTCCTTGTTTTGTTTGACCAACAGTCTCAAAAAGATTAGCTTTATTACAATAGAAGATAAAAACAAATACTCACCTTTGAGAAGCTGAAACTGTATCATTTTTTGGCATGTTTGCCTAAAGAAATTACTTAAATTAATCAACAATTATCAAAATTGATACAGTTAAGACTTTGGTCATTATGACGAGCGGCATGTTTTTATACCTGTGATGTTTCTCAGAATTAAGACTTCATTTCCCATAAACCCTTTTGCTTGCTAGCCAAAGATTCTTTGCTTTTCTCTTTTGTGTATTTACTAAAGGTATCTTTGTTTGGGCCTGTTTTGCACCAACTGTCTCATTTTCTTTTTAGAGTACGTCCACATTAAAGTGGAAACAGACAATATTTTCAAATATCCTCCAGTCCCTAAAAAGCATCACTGTAGGTTTAAGTATTTAACAAATCCTTCTGCAGAAGGTGAAATATACCGGAGAAAGGTTTTCAGAGATATGAGTTGAAAAAATACTGTCAACCGAAGACAGCTCTTTTACTTAATGTAATAATAAAGATACCATGATGTCATGATCTTTCTTTAGATTTAACTGTTGTAATAAGGTCCCTGAAGGCCTCACAAGGTCCTTGTGTTGGCAGGCGGAGGCCAACCACAAGCTTAAAGAGACAACAGGGTGTAAACTTGTACATGAGTGTCGGATTAAACTTCTTACGCTAAGAACCTCAGAGTCAGAGGTTCTTAGCGTGTGGGGGCCAGAGAGGATGGAAACACTGTGGTTTTGGCTCATGAAACACTGTGGTTTTGGCTCATGAGGTGTGTTGCAGGCTCAGAAGTGACGAGTCATCGTGTCCCAATGAAGAAGAAAGTGTTCACCAGACAGTCTGAAGGAAACCTGGGCAGGACGTTTAAAACCAGGAGATAACTCTGAAGACACTCTGTAGAGCAGGATAAACTACACAGAAGCTTTTCTTACAGTACATCTACACACCAGTATTCATGACCAGGATCTTAAACTCTGCCTCCAGTGCACGTCCCTGTTCATGTCAGTATGAATCACTTAGTTTAGCTCTTTTTTTACAATAAACCAGGCTGTGGTTGGTTGTTTCATTCCCAGGAACATGAAGTTCTTTCTCACAGTGTAGTTCATTCCCACTGGTGGAGATATGCTGACTGTGCAGGATGCTGGTTCTGGTAGCACCACAGCAGGACTAATGTAACTCTGCAACAAGAACTGAACCCAAAGCAAAGGAACAAGATCTATTTCTTGGAGTGTAACAGTCACAGCAATAAAAAAGGCATTATACGCATTGACCGAATGTCCACTTTATTAGGTACAATTGTGCAATTTGTACAATTTATTGCAATCGATACAACAGATCTGCCATAATTTCTACCTTTACAAAGTTTATAATCAGTTTTTCTTGTCAGATTCAATTATATCTTTTCATTATTGAGGTTGTAGTTAATAGTGTTTTGCTGGAGAGGTGTTTCTAAACAAAATGTTGGCCTCCCTTTAACAGACATGAAGGAGGCAGGGATTATTCTGCACGTTACTATGGCTTCAATGCTAAAACATATAATTATGAACATTACAGGCGTCATAAACACCGACAGTTGTATTGGATGTCATGAGGTTGTGCAGGTGTACCTAATCAAGTGTGTAATCTGGATTAAATATCTGTTGTCAGATTTAGTGTAGGAGATAACACACGACGTAGCAGCTCTACCTCCACGTTGACTGTTACCAGCACCGATGATACCGTATCATCACTAACAGGCTTACTAGTGACCCCCGAGGTCACGGACATCAGCGACGCCTCGCTCTTAATCCCTTCTTTTCCGCTGCCGATGCAGGCCGATCACTCTGCTGTTCACACGCACACTGCTGGTTCATTTCCAAAATGTTACACAAGCAAATCAGATCTCGTCCTGCACGTTGACCGTCACTGGGAAACAGGTCTCACATCAAGAGTATGGGATCAAACTAGAGCTGATGTGTAAACAGATAAATAAACCAGCTTCTGTTTTCATAATCGATTCATCGTTTAAGTCGTTTCTCAAGAAACTTAGATGGTTTTAGCTTCTCCAATGTGAAAATGTGTCTTGTATTAGAGTAGAATAAATAGCTCTGGCTTTTGGACTGTTGGTTGGACTAAGAAGGCAATTATTCTTTATAGACCAAAGGATTTTTTGAGGTGTGGTTGTCTGAGGTACTTATTCGTAGTCAGACAGGCGTTTCCGACGTGGAACTGAAGCCGTTATTTATGCTCTCTGCAAAGCCACAAGACTCCTTTGACAAAAACAGTAATTTTACCTCTCAGAACACAGGAGTTGTTGGTCTATTGTTTGTTCTATTGCCTGGACAGGTTCGTTTATTACGTGACGTTGGTAAATCCACACCAAACCACAAACAAAGTAACTGCTTGAGGTAGCAGTAGACCAGCAACTCCTGTGTGCTGCGAGGTCAGATGACTGTAAAGAGAGTAAAGATAACGGCTTCACCGGCAGAAATGGCTGTTGGATGAAAATATTGTATATACAGCATACACTTGACCGCCATCTACAGTAGGTAATACACTGACTATGGATCAGTACCTCATACAACCACACTTCAAAACATCTGAACTATCGCTTTAAAGCATTTTTCAAGCACAAGCACCAAACATTACCTGCAGTAGTTCCAGCTTCCTAGTTGTGAGGATTTGACTGTAAACTGAATATATTTGGGTGATTTGACAAAACAAGACATTAAAAGAGAAAATAGGACATTGTGACCGTCTTCTTCACCAATTTCTTACATTTAATAAATGGATTAATTTGCAAAACAAATGGCAGATCAAATGATACCAAAAATCAAGTTGATTTGCAGCCCTGAATTGAACAAAACACTTATTTTTGCAGGATTTTGTCATCTACCTGATGAGTGGAACCACCACCATCTTTGGCTGCTGCAGGGAGCACTGTAACGGAGAAGATGAGGAGAGGTTAAAGGTGGACATCCTCCTCTTTGCTCCCGACGTGTTGCCTCAGCACTGCTGTATCAGACGCCTGGACTCGAACATCCCAACCTCCACAGGGGAGCACAGAAAGACTTTGACGATGCTGAAGCCTCTCCATGGGGCCCCTGTGACCAGAAATGGTTTCCTCCTGAAAGAGGAAGTGGAACTGAACCCGGGTGACCTGGTTAGCTTGGGGAAACACTACTTGTTCATGTTTAAGGATCCTACCAGCACATCAGGGTCCCTGCAGACTCCTCTGTGGATGAACACGCTCTGCCCGAACTCTGATGCAAAGACATCCTCCTCTTGTTTATCATGTGGCTCCTCCATCGCCATGAAAAGGCTCCGGAGGAAGCCTTCACCGCCTCGTTGGAGGGACCTGGAAGGCACGGAGGCTTTGGTGAGCTATGAGCTGGAGCAGGAGGAGCGAGTCCTGCAGGAGGTTTTGGATATGTTGGACCCCAGCGGGGAAGAACCAAAGCTGACGCCGGCGTTCCTGCTGAGCCTCTGCATCCAGCACTCGGCCGCCACGTTCGAGCTGACGCACTTCAGACAGCTGCTGCTCCGGATAGCCGTACAGATCCAGCTCGTTATGTGGGTAAGGATGAAACTTCAGATAATTTTTCTCAAAAGTGTTATAAATAAGTGTGCAGGACTCTAACTGAAGGGGGTCCCGCCTTCCTGGGGACGGAAATGCATTAGTTTTCGGATGATTTCAGGACTCAAGTTAGAGATAGCCTAAAAAAATACAATTAAACCATAACATCAGTCTAAGTTGTCCATGTTGAACACACTCAGAGAGAAGATGAACTGCAAAAGTGACATCTGAAAGCAGTGTACCAGTTACTATGGAGTCATTATCAAAATAATATATTCTTTAAATAGGGACAATTTAAATTGTAATTGGGGACGGTGGTGGAAAAAGATACCTAAGTGCGTATTCAGCATCATAATAACCTGAGTGTGAAGAAGAATGTAATATAATCAAATGTGCCATCAGGGTTGTGTTAATGTACGATGGATATTTTCTGTATGTGTTCTTCCTAGGAGAAGACAAAGGAACTTGCAGCCATCCAGCCAGAAACGTGAGTAAACAAAGTGTCTCCAGAAATACACGACAATGAGCTGCAGCTGCTGCCCGCGATGATATACGACACCTCTAGTCTTACCGTCTGAATAAAAGAGGAGTTAAAGTCTGATTTTACAACTGTTTGCTTCTCCAGAAAACAATGAGGGTTTTCTTTTAAATGCAGGTTGTGCAAAGAGGGATTTTCCCACAGTCTCTTCTCTAAGAAAGAAGTCTTCTCATGAGCACAGCGACTTCTTGCTTTATCATTAAGACTCTTTGTCCCAGGAGCAAAGTAATCAAAGTTAAACTCAATAGACGCGAATGGGAGACAGAAGGGTAATGTGAACGTACCTTTAGAAAGATACAAGTGTGAGATGTTCAACAGCTGCAACTACTAATAATATAAACTATTAATTATTGTTATTAATGAAAATGTAAATCGAAGCTCAGTTTTGTCCATAAAACAGTGTAGAAGTGGTCAGTTTACAAGCATATGGAACTGAGAAACGCAGCAAATCCTCACATTTACAATCCGGATATATGAGCTAAACAATAATTGATCATAAAAAAATTGTTGTTGATTAACTTATTGATTCATCAACTCTGATTAATCATTTCAGCGAACAGGAGATTCCTTTTGACTGAGCTGTAACATTAACAATGACTTCATCAGTGGATTGGAAAGTTGCTGCAACTCTGTTTGACAGTTTTGCAGTATTTCTTTTTTTGCTGATTTGCAGAAATATATGAGGAAGTTCAAACTAGTCTGAAGGATAAACAAGAGTCCATTTTAGTGGATGTTTTGAATGAAACAATAAAATGTTCTTCTTACTGTCTTCACTGTGTCATTATTTTAAAATCGCAGGTTTAGATTATGTCACTTAAACAACAAATATTAGGGACTCACTCTGAAGTTAGACTTACGGAATTCTGTTTTCACAACAAACAACATGTTGGAAGTAAAACGGAGGGACGGTTATACTGATGCCAATAGTTGGAAGCTTCATTCCATTCTAAATAGAGAATGAGACCAGTCGTGTGAGTGTCTGTGTCTGTGAGTGTGTGTGCACCTCTGTGTCTGTCCACAGCTAATCTTGCATACTGCTGCACCAAACTACAAAATACTTTGAGAGCTCATTTATGGCTTCATGCTGAAGGACTTCTCGTGGTTGCAGTGACTCACACTTCCTTAGAACACCTACTTCCATTGATTGACTGCTGACTCCTCACTCATTATGCTATGTTCACACTACGAACGACAAAAGCAATAAAACGGCCAATCAATCGTTGGCCAGCTGAATTTATGGCCCGTCATTGTTAAAGTGTTGCTCGAGCGCACGTTGGTGCAGTTATGTCGTTAAATAGCACTGGGAGGCGGTTAATGGCATTGTTTTTATAGACGGAACAGAACAGGGTGAAACAAAATCATATGATCAGGAAAAAGTTACTTTTATTGTTGTGGACGGTGTGTTTGGCTAATGGCTAAGTGAACTACACACACACACACACACACACACACACACACACACACACACAGCCGAATGCACAGCACCATTCAGAGACACAGTTATTTTCTGCCTTTTTGTTGGGCATCACGTTTATAAGCTATTACTTCTGAAGACTTGGTTCAGCACTAATCTCTGTGTGTTTTTCTCTGTATGTTCCAGTGATGGGCAGCCCGAGCGTCTTCAGCTGCTCAGCATGGAGGAGCTGATCCCAGGTCTGCAGCCTCTGGTCCTGTGGATGGCCAACTCCATTGAACTGCTGCACTTCGTCCAGCATGAAGTCCCTCAGCTGCTGCCCTGGAGGCAGGACCAGAAGGACAAAGGTGCACAACAACACAAGCGTGGCCTTTAACTTTTAACATCATCGACACAGCCGTTAGAGTGTGTGTAAATATGTGTTTGTGTGTGTGTGTTGTCAGGTCTGTTGGACTCTGAGATGTCCTCCACTCATACAGCTTGTGAGGAAGCCATGACAGTCCTGGAAGAAGTCATCATGTTCACCTTCCAGCAGTCTGTCTACTATCTAACAAAGGTTGTAATATCCTACATTATTTAACACTCACTCAAATATCTACCTCAGCATGTTTCACATCCTTGTGACCTGTTAACATGTGAGCGTCGGTCACATGTGAATCAGGAAGTTGGACTGTGTAAACACGATATTCTGTTTTCATTGAGAATATCCCAGATAGAAAACACAATAACAGAATGGAAACACCAACTCTGTCTGGCACTCTTGAGTCAGGAAAGGCCTGTGCGATAGTGAGCAGGGTTTCTTTTCCACTGACTGGAAAATAAACAAAAAGACAATCCTGTTCCCAAGGTTACACTGATTTCACTGGCTTGTTGAAATAAAAATCCAGACTGGCTGATTTGGTGGGAACTGTATGAACGTCTGAAGGCCTTTTGTAGTCTTGTAGCACAAAAACATTAGGTGATGACCAAAAGTGCTTTAGAGAGAAATTTAAGTAACAAAAACAAAAATAAAAAGGTTAGATAATTGTAACAGACGATATTAAAACTACTTTATTGTTACAAACTGTTTCATGAAGGTGGAGCTTTAGCCAGGACTTAAAGGGAGCAATAGATTGAATAGATCTGACATTGAAGGTAAACTGTTCCACATTCTGGGAGCAGCAGTGGAGAAAGCTTAATCAACTTCAGATTTTGAACGGGATCTTGGAATTTTTAGGAGTAACTGAACACAAGATGGACTGAAGAGATCACATTATGTTGGTTGACAAAGTGTCTGAAGATCAATTCTATATTTTGATCAAAACAGAGGGCAGAGATGTCGCTCTTCTTGGTGCCAGTGAGGAGTTTCACTGCTGCATTTTGAGTCAGCTACAAGCCAACTAGATAAGACATGAAGTAATAAGCATGTAAGATGGTCTCCAGGTTTTCAAAATAAAGATACTTTTTTTTTTTCTTGAAGTGGAAAAAGCTAATGCTAAAGACAGAAATCATTTGTTCGTCAAATTTAAAAATGACACTTAGACTTAAGTCATTTGTACAGAGATTTGAAGATGATTTTGACATTTTGAGAAACGATAACAACAACCGCTATCCTTACTCTCTTTAGTTAAAGCAAATCGTTGGCGATCCAGTGTTTTGCATCCTCCGAACAACTAAAAGAAAGATAATGTGAAGTACAGCTCCATCGTCATCTTTTACAATGATAAGCAATGTTGAATTTTCTGAACAACAAAAAGAAACAAACATATAAGGGAACAATAAAGTGGGGCCTAAGATGGAGCCTTGGGGCACACCACAGAGGACTTGGATGATTTATACCACTCCATGCCTTAAAAACATAAAATCTGGACACACACCCGAAAAAAATACTTTTCAAAGTGTTGACATGCATCTTAGTGTGTGCCTGAATTTGCTTTGTGACAGTCAGCAGTCAACTCTCCTGTTTTACAGCCTGACGGGACACTCCCAGACTATATTTATGTGGCTTTCCCATGTTTATTAAAGGCTGTCTGGTTTATGCAGAATCCAGTTAACATCCCAGCAGCAGAGTCTGTAGAAACACAACCACTCTGCACGGAAACTGTTGGAGGAAGGGAGGGAAGGAAGCAGGAACAGTCTGTGCTTCAATTCTCAGTCATTCTACTGTACAGCTTCTGCTCTTCAAGCTTAAGGAAATGTAGCTGAGGAGTTTCTTCACTTTTCTACCACGTTTATTTGTCACTTTGGAGGCTTGTTAATCAAGTAGTACCAGCTTTGTTTTTAGCAGTAACATGCGTTGCACTTTCTCAGTAGAGAAATCATTTTTACGGTGGAGAGAAAGGGAGGTTCTGTTTCCTGCAGAGGAAGACGAACTGTCATCAGGGAAACACCCAACAGGAAAAGAAGGGTGGAGAAAACAGTTTTTCCGTTGACTTCCTGTGAAATATGACTCAACGTTCATAATTTACAGACACCATTTTAGAACTTCTTCTTCTTTTTCTGATGGCTAAGTCTTTTAAAAAAAAGATAATGTTAATAAAACTTTGCCAAGAGGGCATTAATTCAGCTGTAATTTACAACACAAGTTGAGTGCTGAGTAGAAGAAAAAGAAAAGAAAATGTGGGGAGAATCTATATATTTTATCTATACAGATGTATAGAAAATGTTTCAGCATCCAGATATGTTTTAGACAATATTAACTGTCTGTAAAACTTTGCTCAGCATCGTAAACTATGACCTGGAACCTCAAGCATGCAGGGTTATTGTAGTCTTCATGGCCTCTTTCAGTCCGTCTGAGGTCATTATCTTAGTCATGGTGAGTGTGTGAGTGAGTGAGTGTGTGTGTGTGTGTGTGTGTGTGTGTGTGTGTGTGTGTGTGTGTGTGTGTGTGTGTGTGTGTGTGTGTGTGTGTGCCTAACAGGTGATGTCATACCATGCAACACAATGGCAGAACTGTGTCAGAAGAAGGAGTAGAGATAAGAGTCGTATCTGTGTGAGAACTGACAATGAGTTCAATAAAACAGCTTGCGAGATGATTCTGCAGTGTTTGCCCTTTACTGTCTTGTTATTTATTTGTATATGTGTGAAAGTGTTAAGTCAAAAGACTCCCGCTTGCCACAGACAATGAGAGGCCCAAAACTGTACTAACAGGGCGCTCTAGCAGCAATCTAACAGCTACTAAAATAATATTTATATAACCACAATACTCTGCTCTACTCTTTCCATTTGTGAGGGGGATGACATCACCATTCAATGATCCATTCATTCATGCGGAAACCTCAATAGAAGCTTCATTCAGTACAGCCTTCTGTTAAAATTGACATGACAATGGTTTGTTAATGTTAAAGAACAACATTTAGAGGTACCAGGCGTTTTATCATAATTTTTTGTTATGTTCTTTGTTATAATCCTCATTTTAATCCTTGTTTTTGGGCAGTTTTGCATCTAAAATGATTCAAATTAATTGTCGGATAGTGTTTTTAAGTCCCTTCAGCTGGCCTTTGTGTTGTGAAACACAAGCTCACCTGCAAAGTTTCTTGAACACTGCGTGAATGCCTTCCTCTCTTTGACTCATAATGTTCTGTACTGAACAAGAAAAGACAAAAAAAGAAAAGAACACGATTAACTTTATTGGACTGAACTTCTTTATATAATCATGAATCCCTTGAAGAAGACAGAAAGTTGTGTCTACATGTTTAATCGCCTTATGACTGGTCTCCCATGATGCACTAGCAGTGGTGATCCAGTACTTTGTGCAGCGTACAGTGTTAATATCAGAGAAGTAAACCGTCACCATCTCTCTGTCCACAGAGTATGTACTCGGCTCTGCCCGGTCTGCTGGACGGGAACCCGTTCTCAGAGAGCGGTCAGCTGCGAGTGCCTGACGAACTCGGCGGCATCCTGGAGGTTCTGAAGGAGGCGCTGAAGCTTCTCACAGCCTTCCAGGTCCATCCGGACATCTCGTTACAGCTCTGTGCCTACCTGCTGTTCTTCATCAACGCATCGCTGTTCAACGCCCTCATGGAGAGAGGTGAGACCTCGGCTCACTTTACCGCACTAAGAAACCTGTTTTAACTCTTGCTTCAGCCACCGCTTTGCTTCAGAGTGAAATAGCTCAGCAACCTGTGGATGGATTGACATGTAATGTTTTCTAAAAGGATGAATCCTACGGACTCTGGCGGTCCTCGTGATGACGTTAGAACTTCTCTTACTTACAGGCCTGTTCTGCTACTGAATATAAAAACTACGTCAGTCGAGCATTCGTTAGGTTACACATCAATATCTTATTCATAATATCTCATTTTGACTGATTTGCTCCTCAGGCTCTGTCGCTGGGTTCTACCAGTGGTCTCGAGGTGTTCAGATCCGGGCCAACCTGGACCTGCTGATGGACTGGATCCAGAGCATCAGTCTGGGCGATCTGGCCAACGAGTACCTCCAGAAGCTCTCTGCTGCTGTCAATCTGCTGGCCACACCCAAAGAAACCCTCCTGCAGGTCAGAGGACATCCGCTTCTGCTTTTCCTGTTTGTCTCTCCGTGGGCGAGTGTTGCCATGAGACTCGAGTCACGTTAGCATCACCATGAAGGCGTTCATTGTCTTAAAGATTTCAGGACCATATTAGCTATGTACGTTTATGTATTAGTTGCTAAATGTTTCCCTCCCACTGCAGAAATCTAACTCCTACTCCTTTCTACTACTTCTTATCGTTGCCAAACATTGTGATAACTGTGACTAATAATCCCATAAAGTCTGTGGAAGCATGTTATTGGTTCATAGTTGTAGTAGCGCTAATGCACTTAAGCTGTCATTGATCAGATATGACAAAACGGCCTCCAGAGTCGTCACTTATCTCACTTACAATCATGTGAACCTGACTATATCCTGTTAGCCTGAGTATGTATGTAACATATTATCAGCTTAAATCCTATTTATTCTGACGCAAGACAAGTGGAAACATGTGGCCGAGGCCACAAATGGCATTTTAATGTTCAAAGATGCAGAAATACATTAGAGCCTTTGAAGTGTCAGTGTGTGCTCAGGAATAACATACTGTGTCACTCAAACATCACTGGATCAACAACTTTAAACCTGCTCTCACTCGTGTTCAGTCTTTGCTGCGCAGCGGCAGTGTGCCAACTCAACATTTAATCCCTCGTTCAGCTCACCGTTCTCTTAGTTACACATTCAAATCTTGTTTACATTTTGAACCCCAGAAGGAAGCTGAGCTCTCACTTGGCTTTTTATCAAACCGGAGAAACTGACACGTACAATTTGGTTTACTGATGACGAACACATGTCATACAAAAGTACAAACCTTTGTCTGATTCACAGGTTGGATGCACCCGGAAAGATGATGAGGTTTCTTCTGTGGTGAAGCGGTCATGTGTTACTTTATATGTATAAATACCAAGTGTATTGTGTTTATGTACGCATAATATTAAAAGTTAGTTTTCAGATCAAAGCTTGCCTGTAATTCTTTAAAAGAAAGGTGCATTGAGAGCATTACTTCTTCTTGGGTTCATGTGGGACATAAGTTAGTGAGGGATGATTGTAAACTGTAAACCAAATGGACAGAAAGACAGTTTAATGTCTTAATGTCATGTGGGTGGAGGAGTACATTGGTAAGGATTTATTTCTTGTGCAGCCGGAGGTCACAACATCTTCAAACATCCTCGTATCGAAAAGTAGATCCCAGTTCCCAGGATTTACAGAATGGTTAAGTGCCATTTTAAGAGTTTTCAAAAAATGTAGATGATTATCAGAATATTGTGAATCGCAGTTACTTCTGACGGGATAATCGTGATATAAAGTTTTCATATCGCTCCTTGTCTAATATGCTAATATGCTCTGTGTCTGATCAGATCTACCTTTATTCTGCTATATCTAGAATATTTGGAGGAACTGGGTTAAGTATGAGGCCTAGCTTTACACACCTGTCCCCCCCCATGACCCAGCTGTTGAAGGCTGCGTCTCGTCTGTTGGTGGGGTTGAAGGTTGCTAGGAGGCTGCTGGTGCTTTTATGTCTCTTGTGCCCTGGCATGAGGTCACTTTGTGGCTGCTGCAGCAGAGCACACACCCTCGACAGAGTTTTCCATCTGGAGTTCTGTTTTTTTGTAAGAAGCTGAAGCGGCGGCTCACTGCTGGCACAGTTGTAAATTACACCAGAGGGATGTGGCGGGGCTAGTTTTGCCAGCAGTTATGGAGAACACAACATCTTGAGGAGTTATATTTAGAGGAGAAAATAGCAGCCGAACATTTAATCTCAGACATAACAAACAGAGACATTTTTGCATCCACTGCTGTTTATAAGCAGCATTTAAACTTGAGCTTCTGTTGAGCTCAGTGTGACGTGTGTGTGTTAGGAGAAGGGCAGGGACACAACAACACTTTACGTACGGTTTCTATTGTCTAAGCAAAGTCTTACTTCCACCAATTGAGACTGAATGAACTACGTCATGTCTGTAATAATCACATAAACATAACTCACCTGTTTCCTGATCCTCCAGCTACTTTCTGTTGTCATCTGAAGATCAAATATTATCTTTCTTGAATGTGTCATATTTCAAGATAAGAGAACCTGAGACGCTGAGCGGAGAGATAAAGAAAAGTTTACACTTCTCACGCTGCACAGGACAAGAAAGACATGTTGATTATAACACACTCACCTTCTAATGGAGTGCAGAATAAACACAGGTCTGGAGCTGCATTGATTTGTGCTTCTCTATTCATAAAGCGAGAAACATTTTCCCAAGAGGCTTTGTTACCACAGGGACAAAAACATTTTACTAGATCGTGTAATTGGTTTAAAATACTCTGCATGCAAATGAGAGAGCAGCGATTGACTTTGCCTCCTGATATGGAAACAAGCGTTATGGGAAAATACTTGTTTGTCCCTCGCTGTCGTTCTCACGATGACTACAAAGAGCTTTTGTGGCTCGTTCTTTAAAGCTACTACGAGGAACTTTAATTTTGTGTTGATTCTGGCGGTCCCTGTGGTCAAAGGTGGTAGCGTTTCCGAGCACCAGAGTCCCTTTAAAACTCATTTGACTTGTAATTGAGTTTGTGTTTAACTTATAATCGGTTTTGAATCTGGCTCCAGTGGGATTTTAATTATATTGGACAAGATGCTGAATATTTTGGTTTCAAAACCAAATTCGGGGCAGAGTACAAAACTATGGGTTTAAGTGGCTTCCTGGAACTCACTTCTGTTGCAAAGAGGGAAAACTTTAAGATTTTGAATAGTCTAACCTGTGCAGCACTTCAAACTGTATCAGGAAATGTTTGGCATCTATAGAGAAAGTAAGAAGACATTGTTAGCTTTCGTACCGTATATCATTTGAGATTAATTGACCCAGATAATCCTCCCATGCATGCTGGTAAACCTGGGATGAAGGATTGTTAATGTCTTACAGAACATTGTAAACGTAGGATATCAACTTCTCTGTATCTGCCTGACTATTCAAAAATGCATCGAGTTCATCTGGACTTGCAGTGTTGTAGTCCAGCATGTATGTTTTCACAAAGTCCCAAACCTCAAGATATCTGAAGAAAGTATTCAAATTGTATTTCTCTCGCAGAAAAAAAAGTCCCTTTTAAATAAATCTCTCAATGTTTTTCTTTGTTTCATGTCCGTCCAGGCGTCCTGGGCTTCTCTCAGGACTGAGTTCTCTGCCCTGAATGCTGCTCAGCTTCACCACATCCTGAGAGAGTACAGCTCTGGTAAATCCAGTCCCACCGGCTGGACCCCGTCACCGGACGATGCAGAGGACGCTGTCAGGACGGGTGAGTGACGTAGACGTAGACCGTTGATTCAGATCAATCACTCCATCGACAAAAATACATCAGCAGCAAATATTCACTGGTTGTAGCTTCTCAGATGAGAGGATTTTCAGCTTTTCTTTGTCACATATTGTGAATTTTATACCTTTATGTTTTTAACTTTTGGTCGGACAAAACAAGGAATTTAAAGACGTTACCCTGTTCTCCTGTCCACTGGAATTCTGATTTTTTTAAATGTATTTTTTACATTTCATGGTGTCAGCAGTTAATTAATTAAGTGCAAAATGATTGTCAGATAAATCAATAATAAATATAATTGTTAATCGCAGCTTGAGTCAATGCACACAGACGAATACATAATCACCTGGTGGAGATAAACAATGAAGAATGTTTACTGTAAACTGAAGTAACCAGACTCCTCTTTCAGCAGGTAGCTATTGTGCAGCTTGCATGTTCAAACTTGACAGTAGACATGCTTCACTACACAAGACTCCATCGTAAACAACAGAGAGATCAACTGGTTTAATAACGCAGCTGAACTCTGCTCAGAGGGAAGCACACTGGTTGCTGATACATCAGTTATAATCTCATGTGCTCCCACTTTATGTCAACATATTACTGTATACTAGTCACACTCTCTGGTGCAGTCAAATGAGCGTTCCTTCTTTTATGTTCTCTGTTAGAAACATTGTTATGACTGAGACCGTAAGAGATGTGTTCAAAGAGAGATTATTCAATAAATACTACTATGGATAAACTGTGCAAATATATAAAGGAATAGTAATTAGTTTGAGTATTTCTAATATAGTTTGTTTGTTTTGGCATCTTTATCAATGTCTCTTTTATATTTCGTAAAATGTGACATGAAATAAAATCGGGAAAAAAGCCATTACAAAATAAAAGCAGAGATTTGAAAAGGGTTCATTTTGAAATAAAGATTTCTATAATAAAATAGAAAAAATAACTTTTTACTTTAATTCACAATTTACTCCTTTTTAAAAAAATCTGGGTATTTGTTAGGTCTGAGAAGAAAGAATGAATGTTGTAATTTTAATAAAAAGTTCACCTTTACAGTGACACACACACACTCACATACATTTATAAGCAGCAGCCTTCGTCTCAGTCTGCGTGAGTAATCCCGTCCTGACTGTCTGTCTCCACCAATCAGCTTCAGTGCACAGTTTCCTCTCAAATCCACGTTTCCCAGCTGGACGGCCGCCGCCTCGCTCTCGCCTGGTTTCACCTCGTACTTCACTCAGACTGCACCCTGCTGCGTGGAACACACCAACGACTGATCCTGCAACAGTTGCATTAGTCCTGTACTTCATTTATGCCTTTTAATTCCGTGTTAACCCAAATACAGGAGCTTTACTTGGAGGTTGGAGGGCTGCATTTCATTAGAAAGCCTCGGGTCATTTGTGAAGGATGACTTTTCTTTTATCCTGCAGCCGACATCCTGGAGAGCTTCGACAGCCACCCGCCGCTCATCCTGCCCGACAGCACCTTTCACCTGGAGCTGGGTAAACCCGTTGTGGAGCCCGCTCTGTTCCAACAGCTCACTCATCTGCAGGAGTTCATATGCCGACTCCCCCGCAGTGAAACCCAAGCCGAGCCCGATGTGGAGGAACAGGTAACAAGCTCTCTGACCCCGGAGCAGGAAGTGAGGCACCTTGGTGTTTCTGCATCTGTTAATGATTGACTTTATGTTCATCAGACTCTCAACGGGACGACCGCAGACAGCCAGGCTACGACCAGAGCCTTCCAGAATCCGGCCCATCAGGTGGTCCCCGACCCGGTTACCTGCCCCGATGCAGACCTGGACCGTACCTCCCCTGCAGAGCCGCCTCAGGCCAGAGGATCTCATGGTGACCTGAGCAGCTGTGAGGCGGTCCTGACCCAGAAGCTGAAGAGCCTGGAGCTGCAGAACACCCTCCCGGGACATGTCGACATGGGCTACCACAAGAGCCTGGCACTGGACCCGTCCTGCCTGCTGACGCCACCCAACACCCCGCAGGGTATGGAGCTGGATGAGCTGGAGGCCAATCTGCAGGAGGGCGCCCGTCAGCAAAAGAAAGGTAACTAAAGACAAACAGAAGATCTGCACACTTTACCGAAAGCTCCCAGTAAATGTAATTTAACAGAGCAACGTTTCAACCGACACCACAGAACAGAACCAACAATATGCAAACACATTCATCACTCAGTTGGTTGTGATGTCAGATTGGACCAATCAGAGAAGAGCTGGATAACACTGTCTAATGATCCTCTGAGGGCGACAAAATCTAATATACCAATATTTAGTCAAATGTAATAAATGAATCACATTATTATCCAAAGAGTAAACAATATAAAAACAATAATAAACAAAGTAGAAATAATAGATTAGTACTTCAATTAGCATGTATTAACTCCTAAATGTAAAAACTTCACTGGAGTCAGCTTCTCCTGTTAGGAATCGTTCAGTGTTCATCGTTCAGGAGGTTTTTAACGAAGAGGTCTCCTCCTCTCAAACACCAACGGACCTGGTCATTAAAACCAGTAAAAACACAGAATACAGCAGCTTCATGTGAAATATTAGTGTTTTTCTGACTCTGTTCAGCGGACACAGGACGTCCTGGAGGGGCTGCGAGTGGAGCTGCCGCTAATGATAACTAAAATCCTTCCTCCGATTAAAAGATATAGTTTAAAACGACCAAAATATAAAAAAGGTTTATTGTAAAAATGTGGCTTTAAACTGGACAAAAATGTAATTCATGACAGCTTCTGGCTGCACAAATAGGATGTGACGCCATTGCCAGGCGACCAAATGAAACGCACAGTTGATCAAAATAATGTATGTTGATGGGAAAACGTAAGTACACAACTCATAGGTCTAGTCCTTTTTAGACATTTTAATGGTTAAAAGTAACATGTCACTCCATTTAAAGTGTTCATTTAAAGCAACAAACAGCTGGAAAACATTACCTGAAACCTGACAACAGAAGATGATAATTAGAAGTTAAGAGTGTGCGTACAAAGAAACAAAGATTAAACCACACGCGTCTCAAAGGCCCATTCATGGCTTCACGGACACACAGCAGGTTTTCATTCAGATGACACACAGCTCTGTCACTGAGAGCGCCACCGCTTCACTTCAAACATCGTCCTTTAAGTCTGGAGTGAGGTCACCTCTTAAAACCTCCATCACCTCCTCTGACTGAATCTATTAAGGAAAGTATTTAGTGACTTGACCTCGAGGACCCATTGCGTATTTGTTCCAGGTCCACATAAAGGTAACCCCCGACATAAAAGTCCTCCCTTCATCTTTTGACTGACTCTGGAGGTCAGGAACATCAAGTGGAAGGCTGAGCAGGGAGGGCTCGCCCTGCAAAGGAAAGAGAGTTTCCTCTCCCACCCCTATTGTTCCTGGACGCCTCCGTCATGAGGTCATCTGTAGGAGGGAGAGGAGTCAGAGTGAAAATCCACTACTTCACTTATTGTGCCAGGAAGTATGAACTCAAATGATACTGAGGCATTTCACATGTCTCAGTGGAAACAGTGGGGAAGAAGTACTCAGATCTTTTACTTAAAGGGATAGTTAGAGTGGTGGTATGAGGTGCTCCTCCATACTCATTGTATGGAGTTTGGAGAAACAGACAAGAGGACCAGCACCAGAGAAAAGCGATGTACTGCTGTGGTCGTATTTTAGACACCTAAAAGAATAAATATCAGTTTAACTCTGACAGTCAGCACTGATTCTCACGCGATGAATTTAAAGGTATTATCTGCATTAAAACGACTAGACCGTTGTTATATTTCTTTGAGTTGTGTACTTAAATTATCACAAATGTTTTCCCACAATTTATAAACACTAGAAATCCATCATTTTAATCAAGGTAATGGTGCGTTTCATTTATTCGTCATCTCCTCTTTGTGCAGCGTCATCGTTGTGGTTATCTGTGATAGATTTATGTTTTATCCAGAGAGCTTATTATTGATTATCCGATGACCACGTCGGTCAGTACAAACCTCTGCATCATCTCTACGATTATTGGATGGATTGCCATGAAATGTTGTTCAGATTATCGTTATTGTTTTGATTGAGGGAACCCGAGTGGCAAAACACGTCATAGTGTTTGTTTAATTCAGATAAACAAGTTATTAACAATAATCCAGCAGGACGTCGTTACATAAGCACATCAAATGTAGACAGAAAACCAATCGTTTTAACAGCTTCCTTGTGATTTGTTTTATTTAGCCAGAATAAGTGAAACAGTAAATTCATAGGACAAACATCTGCTTTATCACTCCAGAAAAATAAGTAAAACTTAAATTTCTTCTGTTTCTTAATCAAAACTTTGACCCATGACAGGCTGATTTCTTGTTTATATAATCTCAATGGTTGTGCATTCAGGAAGCAGACTCGGTCTAACGTGGCTGATTTGTCCAGAAGTTCTCTTCAGATCTCAACCAGACCTTCAGAAACACTTCTCGTCACATGTGATTGTGTTTGTATTTAAGAGCTTCAGCCTGTGTTAATGCGCTCCCTCACAGACCTCCCGCTGTTTAAAGCTGAGGGATTCTGTTGATCCTAATCAGACGTCTTTACTCTCATTGGTTACTTCTTGTGTTGTGTTTTCTCTGTTAGTGTCTTTTATAAAAGTAATTCACTTAAAGGGTTTGAGGATTACATTAAAACAAACCATCTGGCACCATATCTGTATGTACATCTAATTAGCAGTATATTCAGTAGTGAAATACTTCTCAATCTGCACAGTTTATACTACCATGTAGAAGTAAAACTATCTAAATGACAAACATATAACAGTCACAGCTTCTTACAATGTCCTTTCATTTGTTTTATAGACTAAACGATTAATCCATTAATCAGGAAAATAATCAGCACGTTAATAGATAAAAAAGAATTAGTTGGTACTTGTTAGTCAGTCAGAAATATTAGAAGTAGTTTTAAAAAAAAACTGCAAATAAGAGCTTATTTTAAAGCTGATATCCAAGATGTCCCACTAGTCATTGATTTTCTGGAGTAAAATAAATATTTTTACTTAATATTATAAATAATATAGTTGATCAATTCTCATGAGAAGTAAGGGAATGTCTCAAATGCGTTATTTTGACATTTATAAGGTTGTTTTGTCAAAGTTTTCTGCTATTGTGTAAAAACAAATGAATCAGTTTATTTAGATTACTCTGTAATGAAAACCATGTTTCTATGGCGTGAAGTTGTTTTTCACACTGATGTGTATCATCCCACCATATCTTGGCCTCCAGTGTATCTACCTCTGTGGTTTTGGCAAACGGCTAATGTTATTTTGAAAGTTTGGTAATCCTTTAATCTGGCCCCAAGAATTACAGAGAGGTGGTGATGTCAGGAGAGAAAAGAGCAGTGGCCGATCCGTCATGGGAATTTACAGTTGGGTTGGTGCGTGGAATCTTAATCGGTGGCGGCATTGTTCGGGGCAGGTCCTGCGTGGGGGGCAGACAGGCTGCATGTTGGGAAAAGGCGGAGGGAGTTTTTTTGGGGGGGGGGGG